CTGATTTTTGTGCATTGCCTGGGGAGTTTCCTGATTTGGAGGTCGTCAAGCTCGTCAATGGGGCTTGGCCGCTCGTCATGGGAGTCGGATCTCGGATCGAGATCAGTGATTTCCACGTGGGTGATGTGAGCCACGGTGGGGGGATCCTTCTTGCTTTGCTCACCGGATGAGGAGATCTTCAGACTCTCGGTGTAGCACTGCCGAGCCGTCTTCTGATTCGCTTTGACGGAGATGATTTTACCGTCACTTCTTGGGAATTTCATGGTGAGGTGTGGAGTGGACACCACTGCTCCGAGCTGATTCAACGTCGGCCTCCCAATGATGATGTTATAAGAGGTGTTGGCTTCCACTAGGAGGTATCGGACCATGATTCTCCTTGTATCCGGAGAGATTTCGAAGGTGGTCAGCAGGTCCACGTATCCTTGAGTGTGTACTCGCTCTCCTGCAAAACCGATTAGGGGATCTGTGTGAGGTTGGATGAGAGAGTAGGGGATGTTTAACCTGAGGAAGGTCGGCCAATACAGGACGTCTGCTGAGCTCCCTTGGTCAATCAGTGTCTTGTGAACCTCCCAATTAGCTACCTCCACGGCTATGACCATGGGATCATCCTGGTTGGGACTGACGCCAGCATAGTCGTTGTCGGTGAAGGTGATTGGCGGCGAGCTCTGGTGCGAAGCCGAGGTAGCGGAATGGACGCTGTTGATATTGCGCAGGTGTCTCTTCCGGGCCGAGCTGTTGGCGCCTCCCCCTGCGAAACCACCTACAATTGTATTGATTACTCCCCGTAGGGGAACTGACCCTGTTTCCTGGCTTACCTCGGCTTGCACTGCTCCGCCAGCATTTTGCTAAGAGCCAGAGGATTGGTCCGTGTGAGCTCCTGAACCACGACCTCTGCCTCGTCCTCGTCCACCATAGCCTCCTCGGTGACCCTGCTGTCGCTGGACATATTGGCCGAGGTGGCCTGCCTGGATGAGTTCTTCAATGCAGTCCCGGAGTGTGCGACACTCCTCAGTGGTGTGACCGTGATTCCTGTGGTACCGACAGTGCTTGGATTTGTCGGCACTGTTGGGAGTGTGACCTGGTGGTGGCAGGGTGAGCAGGTTGCTGTTATTGGCCTCTTCCAGGATATGTACTCGGGGCGTGTTCAGGGGAGTACAGAAGTCATATCTCCCCCCTCTGTTTGCCCTAGCCGACTTCTTGAACTGACTGTCATTGTTGACCTTGATCTTGTCCTTGTGACCCTGTTCTGGCTTCATTGGTCCCTTGCCGCGAACCTGGTCACGGAAAGCGGAGTGTTCCTCCATCTGGATATAGCCCGCGGCACGGGCGCGAAGCTCGTCTATGTCGCGAGGAGCCTCACGACATAGGCTGTCGACAAATGGCCCAGGCTTGAGTGCCATGAGCATGGCATGCAGGGCGACCTCGGGGTTCAGATTTCTGATCTTAACCGAGGTGGCAGCAAATCGCTCCATGAACGCCCGGAGTGGCTCATCGTCGTTTTGTCTGAAACTGGCCAGGGTGGCAGAAGTGATGTGGTGAGGTCGGCTCGTTGCATATTGCACCGTGAATCGCCTGACCAGAGTGTTGAAACTGTCAATTGACTCAGCGGGAAGCTGGGTGTACCAGTTGAGCGCGGCTCCCTTGAGCGAGGTCGGAAAAACTCTACACAAAATAACATCATTGTTAGTGTAGAGGTTTACCTGTGTTGTATACAGGTCGATGTGCTCGTCTGGGTCCGTCGTGCTGTCGTAACGGTCGAGGTGGAGAGGTTTCCATCTGTGAGGGAGCGACGTCTCCATGATGCCATCCACAAAAGGGTGACGGCGAAAGGTAGCTTGATCCCCCGTGACATGAGTAGGGGCCTTTCTGAGTTCATGGGCCGACTTGTTCGTCGGTGCATGAGACCGATGCGTGGCAGGTCGTGGAGTCGGTGCCCTAGTCGCAGTTCGGGGCTGAGAGACTGAATGCCCTTCTTCCTCGTGGAAGTTGCTCGCTTCAGGAGGATGATCAGAGGGGCGTCGAGGGAGCTGGGGGCGAATCCGCTCGTTTTCAGCGCGTAGCGCTGCTAGGTCACCTTCATTGGCGGTCCGCATTGCGGCTAGGTTGGTTTCGTGCTTGGCACGCATGTTTCGCAGATCGGCGTCGTGTTGTTGCCGCATCTGTTCGACCTGGTCGATAAGTCTCCTCAATGTGGCTTCGTTTTCCATGGTAGTTGTGTGATCTGCGTCGTCTTTTGCGCGTCTACTATGACTTCTGGTGAATACCATAAGCGTGGCCAATAAGAGCTGTCTTGATCGGCCCCACGGTGGGCGCCAAATGTTCTTACCGGGGATCTGAGGTAGAGTTGATCCACTGGGTAAGGTCGGTGAACCTCCTTCGCTGATACGCTTGATGTTCCAAGATGGGGGTGGTACCTGCAAAAGAGACTCCGATGCTAAAGTTAGGGTTTGTATAAGTATGAGTCTCGTATAAATAATGCACGTACCTTAGTGTGAATTAGGGTTGCGTTGGGCCTTGGGCCTGAGATCAGTTATGATCTAATTAGATAACGGATCTCGTCTGGACCGAGATCTCCTGAGATCAGTTATGATCTGGTTGGATTGCGGATCTCGTTTAGACCGAGGTCTCCAAATGCGTGTTCCGAGGTCATTCCACACAGCGATGCCGAGCTCGAGCTCGGCATGGCGGTACAGATAGTACAGTAATTATGGTATTTATATAAAGTATTGAAAACAATAACTAATTTTAACTTGTAATCACAAACACATACAATGTGAATATTTCTCTTCCAACATAATATATTTCACATTTAAGATCAAGATATGAATATTAAAGAATTTAATTAAAAGACACAAGCTATCACTTATCTAATTGACATTAGTATTAGGGTGTTTACAGTTCAGTTCATTTCAGATTTTAACTAAAAAGTCACTCGAATCAAATAACAAAAATATGTAAGATTTGGTTCGATTTTTATTTTTTATAATAATCGAACCGAATCAATAGTTTGTGGTTCGGTTCGGTTCAATTTTTGTGATTTTTTCACATTTTTTGTATACAATCACAATTATATAACACACTACACAAGGTCACACACCATCAATACTTTGTGTTTTTAGCAGATTCAGATTCTCTAACTTTAAAACATGAAAGTTATGATAACTTAATGCATTTAAACCGTTAGATTTATAAAAATAAATCAGATTGTGACACGTGTACAATATATATTTTGACTTAAATGTACATGTGTCATAATCTGATCTATTATTACAAATTCAACAGTTTAAATGCATTAAGTTACCATAACTTTCCCTCCATAAAATTAGAGGATCCATTTCCGTTTCCAGCCTGCAATTGATTGACAAAACATAAACTTTTAACACTTTATGCACATATACAAATGTGCCTAAATAATGCAAATAAATGAAAGACCAACAGGAATGTAGAGAAGTTGTTTGTCCAAACATAAATTTTTTTACACATCTACTGCAAGGGACATAATAAACACATAAAATACTAGGAACCATAAAATTGCTTTCATATATAGATAACATTATTGTGAATATGTGATCATAGAGAAAGTGATAATTACCTCCATAGTGATGTCAATATTGTAAACTTGTGATTATCTCCAATATCCACATAATGGAACCAACTGTTATCAGCTATGTGCTATTCTCCAATGTCCACACAATAGAAAGAAAGAGTTTTTAACAAAAGAAAAAGGAAAAGAAAAGACTCAAAAGAGAGAGAATCTCATTCTTAGATGAGAACGTCAAAGGAGAAACGAACAAAGAGGCGACAACGCGACATAGTCACACAAAGGTGCAAAGATAGAGAATGACAGAGCCGTGAAGGAGGGCACTCAAATGAGAGAGAAGCAAACAGAGAGGCAATGACAGACAAAAGTGCAGAGGCCAGAGGGAGAGAATGGCGAAGGAGGGAACTTAGATGAGAGGAAGAGAAGGCAGACGGGTGAAGGAGGACACTTAGGTTAGAGGGAGAGAGGTGACACTAGTAGAGAAGGCTTCTAATTTGGGAATGTGAGTGAGAGACCTAAAGTTGAACCTACATTCACGCACGCAGACACAATCACGGACAACACTACGGTTCAGTCAATTTCGGTTCGGTTCCAATTGGCTGAACCAAAAACTGAACTGAATCAATCAGTTCTCTAAAAAACACATCCAAAAAATTCAAACTTTAACATTTTTTATTGGTTTTCAATTTTTTTGGATTGATTTTCGATTTTCTTTTCAATCCAGTTCGATTTTGAACACCCCTAATTAGTACCAACAATGTTAGAATTTTGTAAACATGTGATAATACATGTTTTTTTTATTATACAATGTGTACAAGGAGTTATATTGTCAATACTCTTAATTAGACGTAAATAAATATATTGCATCGTTTAGGATTTATATTTTTTTTTAAAGAAAATAAGAGACCAAATTAAATCTTTAAATAATTGAATAAACAAATTGAATTAATTAAATGAAATGAAAGGAAAAAAATTAGAAGAGTAATTTAACGTTCTTGATTCAATCTGTACACTTCAATTCATTAAGATTTATTCTTATAATTAGACCTATCTTTCAATTTATGAATGGTGAATGAGTAAAACGGGTGTAATTAGCTCCGGTGCTAAAATTTAAGTAGCTTGCAGAATTAATGTAACCCAATAACGGTTTACAAAGTTGTTTCATTCTTGAAACTCTGTTCTATTCTACAGTGATGAGCTTTGCTAAACGATGTTTTTTCTTTTAACAATGATCAGATTTTGACAATTAATGGGATTAATTGTAGGATAAGGAGCAAATAGAATCAATTATTATTAATGAAACAGATTACTACAAATCAAAAACAAATAAGTCACTATTAAGGAAATCAGCAAATCAAATATAATTAGTTTTATTTCAAATAATGTAGCCACATTGTCTTTCATGGATTGAAATATTTTTTCTCTGAAAAGAAAATTTGACACTCTTTTTTTTTTTTTTTCTGGAGTCAGCAAAATCTGGCAGACTTGAATGCAAGAGGATACATGAAGGAATTGGAATAAGTGAATCTGATGATCTGACTAGCGGCCAAAGCTTTCCCTCCATTCACCAAACAATCATCATATGCGAGCCTCTTGAACAATGTGGGGCTGATTACTCTTGCAGAAGCAAACCAGCCACAGTGGAGATGAATGTCGTATGGAGCACAGTGAGAAACACACGTATTCACTATTTCCACAACGTACTGCGGTACCCCAGATGTAGACTCAGTACTTTGCGAGATGCTTATATCTTTGTTTGTGCAAGCACCTACAATCAAATACAAATTTAGAACCGAACCAAAACAAAAATTTCATGTTAAGTGTAAAACTTAAAAGTTTCACATTGATCATAAGTACAAAACTACCATGCAAAAAGACTTTTCCAGATGTGGGGTCTGCATGTTCTGCTTTCACAGGCACTGTTATGGACCCCTTTTTGTCTTCATGGAAAGAATGCATAAAATGAGTTGAAGGACCTGCTAATACTCGGATAAAAATAAGCTTCAAAGAAGGATAATAGGGAAGAGGAAAATGAATCTTTAGAGTCGGTATAGTAGACACAAGATTCCAAGTTCAAACTTTGTTATTGTAATTTTGATTTTCATTGATAAAAAAAAGAGCGAAGAGGAAAATGTTTTCTTTCTGTACCTGAATGCATTTCCACATCGCTTAACCCGAGGGGTATTATGAAGCATAGGAAGAACAAAATGCAGTAGATCATGATGGTTATGTTAATTAGTCGTGGAATGTTGTGGTCTTTGTCAATGTTATTCACAAAAGTCTGACTCAAACTTTGGGTAATTGAATTTGAAGATGCAAGAAAGGGAAAAGGTGATGCGGATTTTGGAGATATTGAGTACCTGAGAAAGATTGAGGTCGTCACCTGTTTCTTCTAAGAGTTTCATTCTATCACTATATATACACACATACGTATAACATGTACTTGCATGGTGATTTGTTTGTATATGAATGTGCGTATAAAAACTTTTAAGACTATATATACATCAAGAAAAATATAATAAAATATGAAAGTAATTTTTAGATTCGAGTAGCTGTTTATGCAGAATTACCTTCTTCTTGCCTAGGTAAATGGAAGACAGCAGCCATTCAATGCAATGGCAAAATGCCAAAAGCTGTTTCCTATCATAGTGCAAAATACAGAGCACAGAGAAGTTGTTTGGTTCAAAGTATGTCAAAAACATTTTACCATTGTGCTAAATTACATACTTCAATTCTTCTAAGGAAATTTATGTTTTTCACTAGTGATCTAGAATTAATTAGTTGACTGAAAAAGCTATTCAAAGATGAAAAAAACCTATATGATTGAAGGACTTTGCAGAAAACTGCCACGCTAGACAACACCACCCGAACCTTTTTTTTCCTAGCCAAGTAGCCATCAAGAGATTATTGAAAGCGTCAATAAATCTTATAAAATGATATTAATGTAAGCATTGATCGGCTACTTGGTGGTACATATTTTACTGTCCATGGTTTGCAAATGTAAATAAGAGCTTCATAATGAATAGAGTTATATATATAACATATAAATGAAAAAAAAATCATAAACCTTATGCTTAAAGTTTTGTGTTAACGTGATTTCGAGTTCAATTGTGTAGATTTTTTCATGACATGGGGTTATCTCCCTTGTTTATTTTCTAATGTCTATGGAGTTGATGTTATTGGAAGTGAATTCGAGGCAGAAGTGAAAAAACTCTTTGGTTAGTCAAAAAGTAAATTACACCTTTCTGTCTTCACAGCCTCAGCTCGTGCTTTACTCAAATTCCAATATTCCATATTACTCCCTTTCTTTCTCTGATAGTGATAAGCTTCTGGTTGGTTACCCGTGTCTTGTTTGTAATCTGATGGAACTAGCATCTACTCTAGCCATGGTTTTAAATTGCGGACCGCAACACCTGTTGCGGCCGCAATATTGCTGTTGCGGCCTTGTCCGCAACGGCATCGGACCGCAATTGCGATGATACTGGAAATCACACATTTTTCCGCAACGTAACGGTGTTGCGTCCGCAACACATCTGCAATGCACCGCAATACATCCCCAATACGATAAATTGATACTATAATTTTAAAATAAATTAAATTATTCATTAAAATAATAGAATATTTTTAAAAAAAGGAATTAAAATATATAAATCCTTAAAAATAAAATATATATTGATAATTATAAATTTTTTATATTTAGTGAAAATAATTAATAATTTCACACCGCAATAGCCGCAATCTGCATCGCAATACCCGCAATACCCGCAACCGCAGTAACTGCAACCGCGACCGCAACCGCGACCGCAACCGCAATTTAAAACCATGACTCTAGCGATAGTACAAAGCACGATGACTTCTGAGCCATAAGAAGAAAGTTACAGCGGAGTAATGGAAACCCTCACAGGAACTTATAGGATAGCCTCTTTTCCTTCTAATATAACAACAAATTTCCTTTTCTGCCTCACCCTACATATCATAGACCTATTCTAACTTCGACAAGATGGAAATTTTCACCAAGTAAATCATTCATGAGTGGCATGCGTGTATATATTCGATCTCTGATTGACTGAAATGATACATTCTTTTTTGGCTTTACATTGAAAATTTTACACCAAGTTTACCATCAAATTTGTTTTGAGAGCAGAAACATTCAAACATTAATTAGTTTTCTTCATAATTAATTTCATTTTAAATAATTTATACTAATTTTAGAGCCAAATAAAAAATCCGTGCATAATTAGTTAATAACATATTTTATTTCATTTTTTTCTTCTAATTTACTAGTTTTGCTCATCATTAATTTTTGCTCATCATTAATTTTTGCCATATACCGAAAAGATGTGCTAGAAGAAAAAAAATCGAGTATTCCTTAGTATGTTTCAATTCAATAATTAATAAAATTTAAAGGATTATTAAAAATGTTATAATCATTAATAGGTCAATTCAATAATGATAGTATAAATAATGATGTTTAGAAAGAGAAAAATGTAATTTTATATTTATTACAAGAATAATTGTCATTAATTTATATGGACTTAAATGTTAACTTGAACATTGGAGTATCTTTTATAAGTATCTTCTCCTTTTCCTTTTTAGACAGATATATCCAAAGGCTATCAGGTATATTACAAAAAGAATAAATAAGGATCATTAAAAATGAGGATTTAAAAGAAGGAGGATGAAAGTGACAAAATTACTTATGTATCATCGTGTATGTACACTCTTTGGATTCCCAGCTTACTGAATCTAAAGTGAAGCAGGTAATGGATGTTGTAAGTTCACTCACGAATTACAAAATAAATATTTAAGACCTTTCTCCATCTACTGAGGAAGATTAAATCATGGTACATACTTTTCATTCTTCACATGTATTATCAGGCTGATAGACAAGAATGGGACTATTGACTACATCGAATTCATTGCTGCCACTATGGATCGGCATAAAATGAAGAAGGTAGAGAATTTGTTGAAGGCTTTTGAATACTTTGACAAGGATGACAACTGGTGAATCTTCACTTCAGTTCATTAATTTGATCCTTTCCTTATACATACATTTAGGAATACCAGATTATTTTTTTAGTTATGAATCTTATTACATTCTTGCTTAACTGAATTCTGCTTCCATTTGGACAGTTATGTAACAAGAGATGAACTTAGACAGGCAATAACTGAACACCAAATGGGAGATGAAGCAGCTATAGACGAAGCCTTCAACTACGTTGACTCTGACAAAGTGAGTTATATAGTTACACTCGTAGTTCTGCTCTACATGTGAATTGTTACTTACAGTAAGGTGGGGCAAATTTTGCAGGACGGGAAAATTATTTATGATGAGTTTATGACCATGATGAGAAACGATGACAACGATTAGTTAATCGCCATTAGTTTTCTCGTACGTTGAGCACTTGTTGCTTACTGCTAGAGATTGAATCACACTCTTGAATTGGTCAGCCTATGTACTTTCTGTAAAATATTATTGCATTTGAAACACAACTTTGTATAGCTGTTCTTCTAGAAGATGTATGAATAATACAAAAGTAAAATGATCCTGTAATGTCATGTAAGATAAGCAATACTACTTCTAAAATTTCAAATTACTGTATTCTCAATACATCAAAGCAAAACTTCCATTTTACTCCTAACACATTATGGTAACGTTACTTGATGGTTAATTTTATGTACAACAATTCTTTTGGCATACACGATAGATTTGTTATCATAACTTGGTAACAAAATTTCTAGTATGCAATTACAACAAGTGCCACTTGTTTGGCTAGATATTTCAGAAGTTTTATGGATGAAACTTGAAAATTCTCGTTTACAATTTTATCAATAAAACTTGAAAAATACTTTACTCACAAGTTTTATGGATGAAACTTGAAAATCGTTTCCTTACAAGTTTTCTGACGAAACTTGAAAACTCTTATTCATAAGTTTGCTGAAAAAATTTAAAAATCTCCATTCATAAATTTTGTGGCAAAACTTAGAAACCTTCGTTCATATTACTTTCTCTGTCATTTAAAGTAGTGACCCATTTACAGGTCAATGTTTCCTCTCATTTTAAAAGTCTCTATTTGTTGACCTTATTATATCTTAATCTTAAAAGCAGAAATAAATATTCTAAGCAACATATTTCAATTCTAAACAATATCTTAAAAGAATTAATATCTTTTAAAATCTAAATAATATCTCAAAAATTTGAATTTAAAAATTTAAATTATTTTTCCAACAGACATATATACATACATATATATATATATAATTGATAAAGATTAATCTCTAATCACATGATATAATTTTCACAGACAAGTATTATTTTGACATTGTAAAAGTTGATCATAAAAGTATCAGATTAAAATTAAATTATAAAAAAAGTCTTACAATTACTAAATCAAGAAACTTTAGAAATGAAAAAAACAAGAGGCATATTAAAATTAAGTTATAAAACCAAAATAAAAGCAAGATTTTATAAATGAAGGAGTTAACACGGGTTAAACTAATTAGTAGAATCAAATAATATAAATAAATGATTTTGTGTTTTATGTTAAATGATATATTTTTTATAAGTTCGTTGTCGGTAAATATTATCATAAAAAATTATTAAAAATTATCATAAACTTTCAACTTATAATAAGAAAATCTCTCGTTCTTTTACATTCTGTATCATTGAAAATACAACTTTGATACATATAATTCAAATAGATTGAAGCCCAAATCCAAACAAATTTGTTGTTTTTTCAATGTTTCACCTTATGGCTGGTCCATCAAAGGTCCTAAGTGGTACCCTCACCAATTTGTTTTGTTATTATTTCTCATAATGGTTTACTTTGCTGCAGGGATAGATATGGCCCAATCCAAACTTAAAAGTCTAAAAGTTAGGTAACTCAATGTTCTTGTTTATATCACCATCCTGACCCTAGGATTTGTCGTTCCATTAAATGAAAACACTTTTTTTTCTTCTTCTTATATTTAGATAATACATTTTAAATTTTAGATAACTTCAAAGTTTTAGAATTTGAACTATTCTCAATTTAATTCTCATCCTTTTTTTAATATTTTATTTGGATGAAACATATTTCAATATTTTATATTTTAAAGACTTTGTTTGAATAGAGTATTTCAATTTTTATTAAACAAAATTCTACTTTAAATATTTATTCAAAAAAATAAATTTTATTAAAAAACATTTAATAATGAGAAATTAATTGTAATATTATAAATTTTTAATAATTCAAAAATAATACTAGACATTATATTTAAGAAAAAAGTATTGATTGGTGAGTGAGGAGTGTCAAATATTATAAGCTTTACCTAGATAAATAACCAAGTTTCAAAATAACCGAATCATGGAAAAATTTGTAAGTACTAGATTTTCAAAAAGTGCATGCCACATTTTCAAAAGTAGAAGACAAGCTAGAAAGATTCATTTGAAGTAGTAAATCTAAAATGAATAAAAAAAAGATTTTCCAACTTATGCTTTCATCTTCATAAGATCTATTTGTTTGTCAAATTCATAATCTTTTTGCTTTAGTACATAAGAATAAAAAAGATATGAAACTATAGGAGGCTTAGTTGAGCTAGTTAACGCCATAGTAGACCTAGACTTAGTTGTTCTATCTTGACATTAGTACTGTACTTCCTTGTTTAAGTGGTTAAGTTTGAGAAATCAAGTTATCGTATTGTGGATTGATATCTAATTTGTTGTTGATCTAGCAAGCCCAAAAAGATCGATGTGTTGTTGGTTCGATGGGATTTAACTACTTAAATTACTCACCCTGTATTATAGAAGATCTCTGAGTTGAAATGTGTGACAATGCATATAGATGATGGGTTGAATTGTGATGACATGTGTTGTTGTGTTGAATCAATGTTGAAATGTTGTTGAGATGTTGTGTATTGTTCATGTGTTGGTTGAATTGTGAAGAAATGAGTTGTTATGTCGATTAAAAGTTATGTCGTGTTGTGTGTTGTATATTGTGATGTTAAGTTGTAGAGTTGTTGAAGATGTGATGATGCTGTGATGACAGTATAATGTTTCTATATATATATATATATATATATATATGTGTGTGTGTGTGTGTTATTTTTCTTTACCTAACTTATCCTTACATATTTTTACGTAATATGGATTGGGATAATCATACATAGTATAAGAGTAAGATAATGATAGAGTTGTAGAATTGCTCATGAAGATTATTGGTAGTGCTTGGAGCTAAATTTTTGTTGACTACTTGATATGGTAAACTTTTGTGTAGATATTAATACAATTGTTTATAGTTGCTTCGCAAGCAACATGAGTTATATATTTATATTAACATTATACTTATTGTAATATATGTTTCTTGAGTTGTGTAAATGTATTATACAATAATAGTCATAACGGGTCCTTATATTCTAAAAGTAATTGTATAATTTATTGTTCAAGTATTATTTTCTTTGTTAATTTGTTTACACCATTCACCTTCAATTATAAAATTTCAAAATTAAACAATGTTTCATTCCATTTGAGATATTAATTTTGTCATTATTGCCAACATGTAGAATTTTTTTTTTTGGCCTATTTATTATTTTCCTCATTTATTAATCGTTTCTGATATATGTAAGTTCTTAAAATCACGACCCTGAGTAAAGTTGCCAATCATGGTTCCACACGTGTGACAAAAATCTGCTTTCCGGATGAAGACCTCAGCCACATAAGCCACGTAGTTACGTGGATAATTTAAGTCCACTGACACATAACTCATACAACTACTCAAATACCCTTCCACTTGAATCATTAAATTCACGAACCCATCAGCAAAACAAGGTTTCAAGTCCAACAGAGGGTTATAACAGTAATTATACTCACTCTCTTCTTCTGCTTCTTCATTTTACACACTTGCTCTGTACGTAAAAAAAGGAAAAGAGACGAAACAGTTTAGTCCCTTAACCAGAAATGAACGCTCTTCCTTCTTCTTCCTCTTCCACCTTCACTTTCTTCACTCAGTCCAAGAACCCCAACCATCTCTTCAAGCTCACACATAAAGTACCCATTCTACCCCTGCACTCTTCCCCGTGTTGCTCTCTCAGCGACTCGTTCTCCTCGTCGACCACGGTGCTGGACAAAAATGCCCTTTCATCGGAGAAGAGTTCCCGCAATGCAGTTCCGTCGGAAGACTCGAGCTCCGAGGAGGTCCTCGTGGTTCGCCGGCCGGTGACGGAATTTGCCGGCGAAGGCTCCGACGAGGAGGAAGAGGGGAAGGAGGCAGATGACGGCGATGACCAGAAGGGTTCGGCGATCGACGAGGGACTCGCGAGGTTTGCGAAGAAGATGCCGATGTTTGAACCGGAGAGGGTCGAATCCAAAGAGAAGCCCCTCGCGGTGAATTTGGACTTGACGTTGTACAAGGCGAAAGTTTTAGCTAGAAGCTTTCGGTATGAAGAAGCAGAAGCAATACTTCAAAAGGTGTGGTGTGGTGTGTTTTAGTTGCCTAGCATGTATTTTTTTTTTAATTTATTTTTTTTGTTTATCACGAATATCACAGTCAATACGCTAAAGACTAATCTTGCTTCCGGTGCTGGTTCGATAAGTTTTCAAACACAGCCTAACATGTGTTTATGTACACACCTTAGAGAAATGTTATTACTATAATTCTATTCTTGACTTGTTTTGTGGAAATTTGGGTGTGATTCTGATGGTGGGTTTTCTTGTCTTGTTTTGGATGGGAATGGAAGTGTATAAGCTATTGGTCGGAAGATGGTCGACCTTACGTGGTACTTGGAAAGATTTTGAGCAGGCAATCCAAAAGAGTCAAAGCCAGAGAGATATACGAGAAGGGTTGCCAGGCTACTCAGGGTGAAAATGCCTACATTTGGCAGGTTAGTTCGTGTACTGTTCAAATGTATTTTTTGCGTCTGGTGATCACGCTTCACACTCTCAAGCTGATTTATGGGTTTGCAGATTGGTCTCGTTCATTGATTACTAGTGAAACAACACTTACATGTATTTTCTCATGTGTTTTTGGTATTATTCGACCAAAATTAGAGTTTTATATTGATATTTCATAAATATTTTTTTTTCTTTACCAAGGAGTTCCTCACATTCGAACATGGGAACTAATGGCACCTACCAAGTAGGTGGACATCCTCTCCCAGGTTGAGTTTCCTACATTGCGAGAATTTCTATGGTACCCAGAGAAATCTAAGGGTTTTGGTACAATTGTTTCTTGGGTCAACAGTTCAATGAATTTGGGCACCCCAAGGGAAAGA